TTTATTTGTTAAAGGGATCTCAAACTCCCAACAAATGTTGTGTTTATATTAAAGATAATGTTATTGAAAAAAAGTTAAAATTAAAAAAAAGGTTTGAACCGAGTTTTTTTGATTAAAAATAAATAATGAATGCATACCGAGAAAAACTAATGTTGTTGTTTTAGCCGAAGCTCGCCTTCTCAATAAATTAGAGTCTTTAAAATATACGTCGCAATCTTTAGACTTTGGCGAATCCTAGCCAAAGTCTAAAGATTGCGACGTATAATTTAAAGACTCTAATTTATTGAGAAGGCGAGCTTCGGCTAAAACAACAACGTTAGTTTTTCTCGGTATGCATTCATTATTTATTTTTAATCAAAAAAACTCGGTTCAAACCTTTTTTTTAATTTTAACTTTTTTGAAGCGCGTTTAATTCATAAAAGTTTTATTATTTGACGTCACAGTAGATTTTTAACAAAAGAAAAGTGTAATTAAACAAAGCAGCGTTTTTCTACTTTAATTCAAAAAGTACGATGTAGTAATTTTTTAACATACAGCAAAATAACTTTTACAATTATAATAAAAGGTTTTTATTTCATAGAAGGAACTTTTTTTTTTGCCGATATCTTAATAATTTATAGATTTATATATCTTATAATCTTTTTATAATTCGTTTGTTTTTAAATTAAAACAAATATTAAAGCTTAACTTACGAATCTTTTGATTTTCATACGAGTGTTTTACATTACATAGAACGTTATGTATACGGTCTCATGTTTTTGTGCAAGAGAGCGCAGTATTATATATACTGAATCTTACTTATTTTTATTTAAACAATGGAAACTTTTTTTTAACTTCTCTGGCAATTTTTACGCTATGATATTTTTTGTTTTCCCGTCGAAAAAAAGAACTTATTAACAATTAATTTCGTAAACTGACGTATTAACTAAAGATATTTGATGAATCGTTAACTTTTTTTAATATAAATTTTTTTTGATTACGTTGATTTATTTTAAATTGCTAAATTTGCTGAATTGTATACAGATAAATAGGAAATATCATTTTATTTTACATTTGATTTTTGATAATGAAACTTTTAAAATGTCGGCAATTCCATTTCAATCAGAACCTGTTAAGGTTATGAGAAAAAAGTACAAGAATACACTAAACAATACAGCTGACAGTAGTATCAGATATGAAAATTCGTGGAACTGAGATCCTGGTTTTGCATTAAAAGTACAATCAAGAGCAACACAAGTCGGTATTATAAATTTTGATTATAAGTTTACTGTTCAATATTTTATAGCCATCAAATAAAAAACATGAAGTTTGAATATTTTCGCCTGTTTTATACAACTAATATTTAACAAAAATACGGAAAAATTATTATTAAATAACGCAATAATTAACACATTAATTAATGGCAATTATTCAATATGAATGCTAATTGAAATTGTCAAAATATCATAAGGCGCGTTAAAAACATATTATGTTAAGTATTTCCCAATTTGTGTCGTATTTAGCACTTGTCTTTTAACATAAAAAATTAAAATTATTTTAAAACATATCAAATACAAATTTTCAAGCTGTTTTCTCTTCCAATTTTCATTACTACAATAAAAAGTTACTAATAAACTTTAATTTCTCTTAAATATATTTATCTAAAAAAAAAAAATATTATTTATCTAAAAAAAAGAACGAGTGACGTAAAAAAAAAATATTATATACAACTTTTATTCAATCTTTTATTAATTTAATTAGGCGAAACTTTTCTTTCTCTTTTGTTCTACTCTTTTATAAAAAGAGCGAGCGATGAAATAAAAACTTTTCTTTCTTAACATAAATTTTTACTTAGAGATAAAATTAAATTAGAAATAAATCAAGAATGAACAAAGCAACTAACAGATTAATCTGGTACTATTTTGATATTATTGAAAATAATCAACATAAACAACATTACCAACAACAATTATCAAATAAACAATACAAATCGCATAATTTTAGAGGCTTTTTTTTATTTTTCTTGCTTAGTTGTTCTAAATAATAAGTATATTTAGTTCAAGTTAATATTTTAATATTTACAGTTGGAGCATAATAAAGAAATGATGTTTAATGTTGAACTTTTTATTCAATTATTTTTTTTTATACCTATATTTGTTATAAAATTTTTTATATTTTTTAAATATATTTGTTTTAAATATATTTATAAGCGATTATTCAAAGTAATTTTTTTCGCTTGACTTCCTTGCAAAGCAAATTAAGACGAAATATTGTCTAACCAAGGACGTTCTGAAGAGACAAGTTATTATACGCAAGCGCATTAGTAATTTAAAAGTATTAAAATTTTATTAATGGCTACGGTTCGTAGAAACGAACTTTTTTTAGTTAGGCGACTGTTTATTTATATTCATTTCATATAAATCAGCAATTTTAACTCTTTCTTTTTTTGAAATCATAATTGTCAAATCTTGGTTGCATAATAAAAAAACTTAAATAAGATAAAAAATATATTCAAAATTTTTAAAGTTGCGTTGTTCAACGAAAATTAACATTCCAGACTTAGCGACATTTGTTTATACTTTTAAAAACACATAATCTAATTACATGTATGTTAGAATGTTAGCTTCTTATTAAGACAAACTGAAATTGTAGTATCGTCAGAAAATAATGCCACCTTAGGTGTGAGACTATCTGAAAAACTGTTAATGTAAATTAAAAAGTATAGGAGCAAGGATAAAACTTTGAAAAACCAACGATGATACAGGATACGAAGAAGAGTGCTGTCCGTAGACAACAGCTTTTGTTCTAGTATTAGTAAGGAAAGATTCAATAGTCTTAAAGATGTTACCTGATACACCATAAGAACGAAAGAAAACTTTCCAAAGAAAACCAGCGTGCCAAACTTTATCAAACGTTTTGTCGAAAGCGATTGCCTTAGACTCTCGGTATCTATTTGATGCACGATCTATCGGTTATTACTGTTCGCAAATCACCTACAGAACAATAGAGTCGAAATCCATATTGATGATTAGAAAGTAAATTATTAGATTCAAAAGATTAAGTTTTTGTTATTTAAAGATTCAAAAACCTTGTTTTTGGTAGAAAGTAGACTAATGTGACGGTAGTTAGACAAGTCAGTTTGCTCTCAGACCTTTTCAAAATAAGGATAACAGATGCAACTTTCAGCGTGCGAAAACAAGAAAAAAAAACACGATCTAAAAAGCCCTTGTTAAATAGTTTTGAAAGTAAATATAATATGGAAGATTTAGCATATATTTTATTGGTTTTATGCAATGTAAATGCTTTTGTTTAGAAGCTGCATGACTTTTCTAATAACTTGCGAACTCCCCAAGGGGATT